AACTGCACTTGCTGTAGAGGATATAAACAGCAAACTCTGGGTTCATGTGATGCGGATATTTGCAAGGGCTAATAGGCACGCGAGACAGGAAACACAAAGATGAAGATGCAGCAAATAATATCTTTTTTATTGACAGACTCTCACCTAATCCTCCGACACACAGTTTGCTTCTCAATAAACAAGTGAGGAAACAGGCTAACAGAGCCTCTACGACAGCTGGTATTCAAGTCTGCAGGTGGTAGGGCTCTAAAATCCATTCTCTCTGACACAGTAACTCCATGCTCCTCAGAACAAAGAAAGCAGTACCAATGGACACCAATTTTGGTAAGTGAACAGGACAAACGGACGGCATGTTAGAGCAACCCAATGTTGCTTACTTAACAGGATTATACAGTAGGTAACTGCCACATCAGCACAAACTGTTACATTCAGTCCCAAGGCTCCACACTCCTGCGGATTCGCTGACAGGGCCCTGCAGGGCTAGGGTGTATGCATAAATGCAGAAAGAACAGCAGGGACCTCATTCAGGAGACATAGCAGAAACTTTGGGATGTGATTTCACATGGCTTTCCTTTGCTATCCAAGACCTATAACGCAAGAAAATTTCAACAACTTTGGGCAAAATATAAGCTCTTAATTCCACTTCCACCTAAACTCTTAATTTTATTTCCAACAAAGTTTTTGAAGTACTTTTGTGTATTAGTCCTAACATGCATTGGAACTTCAGGTAATTGAGTCTAGAATGCTAAATTTCCCCAAACTTACAGCAGCTAATAATGCATCACATTGAATAATAATCTATGGAATGAACTACTTTAGAAATTATTCAATTAGGAACCGGTGCAATGGCTCAGTGCCTAAATCCTCACCTTGCAGGCTCCAGGGTCCCACATGGGCAGCGGTTTGTAACTAGGCTGCTCCACTTCCCATCCAGCTCCCTGCTTGTGGCCTGAGAAGGCAGCAGAACATAGCCCAAAGCCTATGGACCCAGCATCCACATGGGAGACCCAGAAGCTGCTCATGGATCCTGGCTTCAGTCACCTCATCTCTGGCCATTGTGGCCATTTTGGGAGTGAACCAGAGGACAGATCTCTCTCCTTCTCTCTAAATCTGCCCTTCTAATGAACTTCTTAAAAAAAATCACTCAACTAATAATTCATCCCTGAGTATCCCATAGAATTATGGAAATGCAAGATTCAGGTGCCTTTTTTTTTTTAAGATGTACTTATGTTTACTGAAGAGCAGATCTGTAGCATCCATATGTGCTTGCAAGGCGAGGATTTACACACTAGGTCTTCGCAGGGCCCAATTCAGATGTCTTAAAAGTTGACAATCTTCAACACATTAGTACTACATGTTTTTTATGGTCTGCTTTGCATTTTAAAGTTATTTCACTTATTCAATCACCACCTATTAGAACAAGTGGTTACAAATGTTTACTAGCAACTGAAGTCTTTATTTTCCTGAATAATATATGAATCCAAATTTCACAGCACCAATCATTCAGACTGCATAGCTGAAAAAATTTCCTAGGTGGGAAATCAGATGGCTAAAAAAACTGAGTCTGATGGAAAATAAATCTATTTCCACACAAAGAAGTTAAACACAAGTACTGTTGCTGTACCAGCACCATCCTCTCACCCATGCCCCAAAAGTCCATACTTTCCAACAGGGCGTTTGCTTCCAAGTGGCTATTGCTGTTCTCCAGGTTCTCTTGAGCTTCGGGAGAAGTTTTGCTTTACCCACTGATTTTGCTATATTTTTAGGAAAAGCAGCATGGAAGAACAGAAAGCGTGCTCCAAGGAAGGATAGAGTGTCCCTTCTCTGTCAATGATGATGTGTTGATGTGATTACCACCACCACCACCCCACCGCCAAAACACACAAGTGGGGAGGTATAAAGTGGCTTTTCACAAGCATGAAGAGATAGAGCCAACTCAAGATTCCAAAAACAGCAATTATGATTATGGCTTGCTTCAATGTCACCTAATGGGATAATACTTCCTTGTTTAATTAACCAGCATTGAGTTTTATCATTAAGCTTTTCATTAAAATCACGTTTTTTAGAATCCAAAAGTTCAAACTCTCAAAACAAAAATACGAAATCTAAGCTGTAAAGACCTAGAAAGTAAAACAAACAAATACGCTACATGAAAAATAAATATTTCCATGTCAAACATGAAACGAGCTATTTTGTCTTTTTAGTAATTTAAAGGAAGTTCTTGCACTTTCAAGTCATACATCCCAAAGGAATACAAGTCCATTACCAAGTGTGACCTATGGTGACCACCGATCTTTTGCAATGCAGAAATGAACACAGGGACTGGTATGTTCGCATGGCAGCTACAGCTACCACCTACAGTGCCTGTACACCTGGCTACTCCACTTCCAATTCAGCTCCCTGTCAACTAAAAGCAGCAGAAGATGGCCCAAGTGCTTGGCCCCCTGCACTTACATGGGAGACCCTGATGAAGCTCACGGTCCAGGCCCGGCTGTTGTAGCCATCTGGGAAGTGAACCAACCAGTGAATGGAAGATCTGCCTGTTTATTTGCCTAACTCTTTCAAGCAAACAAAACTTAAAAAAAAAAAAAAACTTTAAAAAATTGTTTTAAAAGGCTGATCTATGCATCTATTAAAAAACTAGACTGCAGTCCATCTCCTACCAAGTAACTGTGATGTACACAGTACCAAGTTCAATGATGTACACTCCAACCTAATTCTGTGCCACAGTTGTTTTCATCTCAAATCTTCAGAAGTCTGCCATATAAACCTTTTGGTGAGGCCACCAAGGAGGATCTTAAACTGATTTTGAAAAGGATGCATCATAGGCTCATATTTTTACATCTATACAACTTTATTAATGAGTGAATTACATGCCAGCCTGTTTTATATATGCACAGACATTCCTGTAATAATGGGACATTCTGAACTTGATCGAGATAAAGTTTTAAAAAGTAGCAATACAGCAATATTTCATAACTTATTGGAGAATAACTAAACAACTAAGATAATATTTAACAGCAATTAAAATGTAAGTTATTAATGTATTATAAGCTTCAATTATTCAAATATAACAACTTCTTTAAAGAAAAGAGGGGAAAAGCTACTTATGCTCCAGACCCAACAAATGCTGAACAGAAAAGGCTGTGACAATAATTGGTACCTGTCCTTATCCCAGGTCCTCCTTCCCAAAGGTAGTGAATTAGGGAACCATTACGCAAAACAATGTGAAATGGTCTATAAATGATCATGTAACTGATGCTTCAGCTCAGCGCCTGAACAGCGAGAAAAGAATCAGGAAGCTGGGAAAGCGGGAGTCACCATTACTCTCCTCAACAAATTCAAGATATGGGGCACTTGTTATGTGCACTAGCAGATCTACCATGATCTGATCTGTGCTTTTTGATACAATATATATCAGCTGAAGAAAACTGTTCGGAAATAAGAAAACCTGAAATCTCCAAATAGGGGATTCTGGGCTCTTAATGCTATTAATTATTACTTTAACAGGTAAAAAATTACAAGCAACTTTAGAGGCATATCCAAAAAGGGGCTGTACCTTAACTGACTGTAATGGAATTTTTAGTTTAATGATCTGTTCTGAACACTACAGAAAAATGTAGTTTTGCCTTAAGATATTTTATTGCATAAACACACAAAAATGGATTATTCTAGCCATAACTAGCTTGTTCAAAAACAATATAATTTAAGACATTTTTGCATAAACTCTCAAGCCCCAGTTAACATTCACTAAGAAACGTTTAGACTCTAAAGAAGGTTTTGATTTTCAGTTTTTAAGGCAGAGAGGTAAAGGTGTCAAGTATCCCTAAAACTCAACAGCAGCTATTCAAATGCACAGAAAATAAAGGCAAGTATGGAGAATTTGTAAACCTGAAGGGAAATGCTAAGTTTTTTAAAAACAGTTCTAATTATTCTACTTGGGTGACGATGAGATAAGGCTAACACTGAATAATACCAATTACAGAGGATTAACTAATATGCACAGTCAAATCTTACAGATTTGGGAAGAAAATAAAAAATAAAGTTTCAGTATTGGATCACTAGTGACTCATCAATATTCAGAAACAAAGTATGAATATCATAATCTACAACAAAACTGTATTAAGCTGGTATTTGATAGCTTCACTAAAAGTATTATGTATCAAAGTTTAATTTCATTTATACATTATTAAAAGTGCTTAGGACTATGTGATTCCAGTGACAGAGGGGAGCTTTAGTATGTGTTTGTATACATTAGTACAATGTCATTATTTCCAAATTAGGCAGCTAATTACTTTGCTTTCTTTACCTCATGCAACTGTTTAAAAGGGTGTAACACAGACTCTTTAACTGATAATAAAAATTTATGCAGGTGGTAAACTGAATGAAGCAAAACAAAAAATAAGAGGCTCAACTGCAAAACAAAACAGCATGATTGATTGATTTGAGACAATGAAAAAATCAGAAATAAACCCAAATACAGCAGGATATAAAGCATAGTAAATTTTACTTTTTTTAGTAATGGGAAAATGTCCCTGAATAATTAATGTATCTTTTAGTAGTACCTAGTAATAAGTAACCAATTTTGTGTGTCTTGTATAGCTGTTTCAAATGATTTTTACTTTAAAAGATGATATAATTCCCACCATTTTAACTGCTGGCATTCAAAAACAAAAATATAATGGAAAAAAAAAACAGGTAAGATATAAAATGACTTTCAAGATGTGAAATGTGGTAGCTTATGAGTATGAAGTCAATTCCAGTCTTAATAATGATTACACTGTACACACACACACACACACACACACACACACACACACACACACACACACACACACACTCCAGTCATATTTTCCTGACTCTGAGATGGGTATCTAACATATCTCAATTAAGGATATGGTTTTACAGATTAATCCTACAATTATAAAGCAGAAAAGTATAATAAAATAAAAATGGTTTTGTTTCACAAATTAAACATCTGAATAAAAATTATTACAATGATATTGAAAGATAATTTTATTGGCTTTTTAAAAGACATAAGCAAATGAGAACATCTTACTTGGGAAATTAAGTTTTAAAATTGTCTTAAAAGAAATAAATAAAACATCTAGTACAATCTCTTCCTGCAAGAATCTCTAAGGTAAGCAATACTAAAAATGAAGCCTCTCATTTGAAAATTCCTAAAACTAATACTAATCCCCTTAAAAACTGTTTTATAGAGGACATTTGGTAAATCCACATTCTCTTAAAATTTTTCCTAAAAGAAATTCTATCTTTAGTACTCAAAGTTTCTAGACATATTTAGTTCTTACTTAATTTAAAATTAATAAAAAGATATCTAGATACGATTTCTAAGAAAACAAGGTAGAATGTAATTTATGAGTGGTTATTTACAGAAAGTTTTCCCAAATATCATATTCAAAAATCTGACAAATTCTTTCTAATAATCAGCACTGCAGGTTTCAGTAAACTTTATATATAACAAAGAATGCCTCATGTGTAGAGTTACTAGATGCTTCTAAAGGCCAGAAACTAAAGCAAATGACATGGGTAACAACTTCATTTTTATTATCCTAAACGTCGGGTCAGAAGTCAGTGGCATTTACGTGCTGGAAGACTGTCAATCACTCGACTCTTTCCATTGCATCAGAACACTGATTCACCAAATGTAACTGGACTTAACTGCTACAACTTCATGGTTTCTTTCAAGTATATGTAATCTTCTATAATGGGCACATATGCAAATGCGCAAAAGAAATATAAATATTTAAAGTGAACAAAATGGCTTTTAAATATAAACCACCTGCCATTCAATTATGACGCTCTATCTTCACTAATTTGTCTTCTGCTTTTAGTAGTCTTCTATCCTATGAAAGTTGTAGGTTTACAGATGATCTTGAAATTTCACATTGGCATAAGAAAGGAATGTTGGATTGATGCAGTCTAGGAATAAAGAAAGAATTAGTCTTGAAATGTACTACACTGCATTTCTTTCAGACACTACATAACATAAATCCATTTTATAGCAGTATTACATGAAGGTCATAATGTTCCTTTGAAAAATAACACAAAGTAGTACGCAGAGAATATATTCTAAACTCTAAAGCTCCGTCCATCCAGAAAGCATTTAGCGTTATACCTCAGAGCACACAACACGCACACAGGACAGCCAGACTTACACTGCCACTCAAACCGGTGAAACCACTCTGCCTTTATCTGTTAACACTGTCAAACTCCTCACGTCACTTTTTGCAAAGACAGTTTACTGGTTAAAAGGAAACGTAACATGTCCTGTGGAAATGAACCTGTTATAGAAGTCTTATTTGAAATGAAACATCAATATGACCCTGAATCGCATCTGCATTCATTGTATTGCAGCAGAAATATGGGCTTATGCACACCTCATAAGTTATTAATAAGATTTAAGCAACCACATGTCACAAGCACTACACACTCACACACACACAGGTATATGTGTATAGATTCTACAAAATATGCAAGCCAGGCCCTCAGAGACTGGTTTCAGGACACCACTTTCCACCCAACTGATAGCAAAATCAAAGCATGTTCAAGTCCTTTATATAAAATGGAGTACTACTTGCATAATTTAGGCACATTTTCCCATATATTTCAAAAATCCTGTCTATGTTACTTATAATAATGCCTAACACAACACAAATGCCAGGTAGACAGCTATTATACTGTATCATTTAAGAAGGTCTGCACAAGGAACACAGATACAAGGAAGACAGATCAATCTAAGCAGTACAAAACCTGGAGTTGAATTCTCAGATTTGAAATACCTTGTCCAGAAGATAAGTATTTTAGCAGACCTTATGCTTTTGAACTCAAACACTTTAAAAAAGTTTCAGTTGTTTACAGATATGAATTACATTGTACATTAAACAAAATAGAACAGCTAAAAAAATACTTGTGACTTCTGGTTGCACAATAAATAAAATGAAATACCTAGCTATATAATAAATAAAAGCTATTACAGCCTCTACAAGCTCACTGATAACCATGAAGACAACTTGTGTACATCCTTTATGCTCCCATTCACTCCAGCTGTAACCACCATTTTTTAAAATCTAAATTGACACAACTTAAAACATAGCAGAACTCCTGCTCTCTTCACAGTTTTAATTCCCTGATCCTGGTTTCTAAAATGACTGCATGACAAACTGGTTTTCAAAGATTTGTTTTTTGTTTTGTCATCAGATGTCTATACAGATTTCACATTATTTTAGGCAAAATGGCCATCCCTTCCGTATAAATACTTTGTATATTTTGCTTCTTGAGCCTTCAATGTTATGCCACTGGCACATCAAACATACCCTGTGGTCCATCTACAATCCTAGGAAAGGTTTGATTAAAAGATCCAATGCATTTAAAAAATTAAGATTTTCCATATTCAGTTTAAAACATCTAAGTTTTAGGGCCTGGTGCAGTAGCCCAGCGGCTATGGGCACTGGAGAAGGAGAAAAGGAGGAGAGTGGGAGGGGGGCGGGGTGGGGAGGATCATTATGTTCTCAGAACTGCATACATCACTTCTCAGCTGGTGGGCTAAGATCACACACAGAACTGTACGTACAAACTACAATGAATCCGTTAAAAAATTAAGAATTAAAATTTAAAAGCTAAAACATATACTTAGTAGGCGGAGTAAAAATTTTGAGTACATATTAAACATTTTATAAGTAACTTATAGATTTGAATACATAAGGAAATAAACTAATCCATGACTATTTCTTACCTCTATAATAGGAAGAAATATCTTGTTCTTTGAGCAGCTGCCATACTTTCAGACATGTTTCTGACTTTCAGATAATTAACAAATCCTCTGAAGAAAAGCAGCAGGCCTGGGAAAGTTGAAATAATATACATACATTACGTTCTTGCATAGAAATAAGGCATGGGAATTCGAAAACACACGATTATAAACATTTTCCTCTTGGCTTCAAGGATTTTAATTTGCAAGATTCCTTTCATTCCATAATATTACTCCATATTGTCAGCTCCATAATTAAGAAACAACAAAATTGTTTTGGTGTGTTCTGACTATTCTGTTTATAATTTATTATTTTATGATACAGTTGCATAGGCCTTGGGATTTCCCTTAACCCCATTCCAAGTCCCCCCTCACTGATTTCTCCTGTATCATTACTATACTATAGTTCTTCATAAACAGTCATAGGTCCATCACTGCAGGCACGGGCAGTGGCAGACAGTCCAGCAGTCTATTGTCGATATATAAGTAACAGAAAAAAACAAAATTTTATCGCCACCTCCATTCCTCCAATGTGTTAAGCTTAAATGCATTAAAATTAATGCAAAGCAAATCCAACTATGAAAATTCAGAATTATATAAAAATATACATTTATTTTTTTAATAATAAAATTACTCAGGAATTTTAAGTAATTCAACGCATAGGAAGTTTCATTTGGCGGGAAAGTTTTCAATCAGTATAACTACAGAGCAAGCTGAGATACATTTACTTACATAAAGTATTATACACAAACAATTACTAATCCTGTGGGGAAGCCCACAAGGCCACAGAGTGACATCAAGGGCCTGTCATTGCTGAGATCAGTATCTGATCATATACAGATTATGTGCACATTTTTAATTGTAAGCTCTTATTTTCAAGGAATAAAAGGCTAAACTATAACAAAAATAAGGTAAGAAGAGTAAGGAAAGAAGATTTGGGAAGCAGTCACTCTAAGGACTTCTGGTTTAAGATGTATCTTAAGTCTAGTTCAGTTGTTTTCTTTGTAAAATCATACTTTAAAGTAAGAGCCACTTAAGACATCTTTAATAATTTTTAAAAATGCCTGTGGGATACTTCAAAGCATCAGATGAACTATATTAGAAGTACACAAGTATTGTTGTTGTTATTATTACTGCAAAGTTATTATTGCAAAGCTTTGAATATTTAGCTATATCATTCTTAGGAAAACATTATTAACTCCAAGAAATTTATAACTATTTAAATAGTGGAAGAAAGGTACAAAAACAGAAGATACATACTTATGCAACTTTTTTTACCTTGAAAAAAATCTGTAAATTTAAAATTTAAAATACAAAATCTCAAATTAAATTTGTACCCTAACTCCAAGACAGTAATCAAAGTACAGAAAAATAAGCACTGCTGTAATAAGTTAGAAAAGACAGCCAGATGAGCTACACAAGCAATGAGTTCCATGCAAGTGGTATACATTTCAGCTAAATTCAGTCCATCCTTACTCCGTGCACTTGTGCTCTCTCTCCCAAGTCCACCCTGCCCCCTCCCTTCCAGCTGCTGCTCAGAGCATGGGATCATCACCCAAATGCGAAAGCCTTTCAGAAAAACGTAAATCAAAATTACTTGTGAGATCCTTTCCTTTGTCCATCTAGCTGCTGTTTGTTAACCACATGTTGTTCTGCTTAGGCTAATTCATATCGGAAAAACATTTCACTCTGCAGCAACTGTTTCTCTCAGTATCTCACAAATGTGCTCAATACTCTTTTGAGTATGTGAGAACAATATTTTTACAAGTGATTAGATACTCACGTTCTCAACTGCCAGATGTGCAGAGTTCTGACAGGGAACTGGGACTGATTTGCAATTCACTCTGCCAAACAGCTGCCTTCCTAACGTTCCTCTAACTTGCTAATAATAAATACAAGCAAATATACTCATTTACTGTGCTTTCTTTTATAAATCATTCACTTTTAGGTAAGAAGTTCAGTGGAGAACACAAAACTCAGGTGAAACTGGCTTAACCTTAATGCAAGTCAGACTCCCCCAACAACATCACAACATTAAAATAATTTCACTATAGTTATCAAACAAAATTATGATGACCAAAAAATTGTTTTCCAAAAAGATCATAAAGATCCAATGTGGTGACTCAGTAAAAACTCACAGAGAAGACTGCCACCTACTGAAATGCTATTATTTTCAAGTCACAATTATTTTGTTCAAAAAGTGATCATTTAAATTTACGAAGAAACAAAATGTTTTCTTCCTGTCACTAAATACATTTGAAATGTGAACTACAGTGATAAGGTGATTTTAAAGTGAACTTAATTATCAAGCTACCAAAGTGAAAAACACAAGAGAATAAAAATTGAAAATCCATAACATTCATCAATATTAATAAAAGGAGCCACTCTGTAGGAATACAACTAAACAGAGCCACTGTGCTTATCCGGCATGAGGCTGCTTCTCCTGCCTGGGTGATTAATGACTGACGCAGAGCCCATTTCCAAAGCATCAACAACGACTTCACAATCCAGAAATGAGAAAATGAATGACTTATCCAAGCCATGCTACTCATAAACTTGCCAAAATAAAAAAATTTTCCATGCATTTTTCCTTAATTATGTTGGAATTTGCAAAATCTGCAGCACTTATTAACAACTGAATGCTTAAATACATTTAACATTAAAAAAATCTGAAGTCATATACAGGATTATTTGAAAAGTGAAATAGGTATTTGAAAAAGAATTTTATATTAGGAAAATTATTCACGCATTAGTTGTAACAATTTATCTTGCAACTTTATGAAATATCAAAGTTAGACTAAATGTAAATCAGTTTAAAAACTTACCAAGTACAAGGAATATCCACCAAAGCCAATACTGTCCATTGAAATATCCAGTAAAATAATCAGAAAACTATAGAATGAAAACAAATATTAACTTTACTTAGAAACCTAAATTTGAAAATCACAGGTTACCCCAATTTTAAAATGACAACTCACATTTTAACATTTGACAACAGTACAAAAAATATATATATGTAATTAATGATATGCAAAAAAGGAAGTTCTTCCTAAGTTCACAGAAAATGTGGATAGCTATACACTATTCACAATTTCAAAATTATTCCAGCATTTCAAAGCAACTTTAAAATAAGCATTTTTAAATTCCATTCTTCCATGAACTTTTTGAAATACTCTTATATATTAAACATTCCTTATGCAAACAGTAAGCAAACATATAAAATATCTGAGACACAAGAAAAAAACACTACATATCTGAATCCGATATTTTCTTATTGAAGAGTTCAAATGTCAGTTCTTTGCACACAATCTCCCAAAGCCACAACCACCGTCCCAAACAAACTACAGCAACCTGCTGTGCTGGAGATCAACACCAAAGACCACATTAGTCTAATCTTATCACATGGGGATGTTCTGTTGGCCTCTAGAAAGAAGAGCCTTCGACCTTCTGCACACCTCCTGCTGTTAATCACCACCCCAAATACTAGCCGCACAAAGACCCCCAACTAATCCATCTTTCAGTTTTCACACTGAACACTCCAGCATTCAGTTCCCAACAGTGAGATGAGAGCAGCTAAATGAACCTTGAAGACTTCTCGCAGTTCCTGCTCGCAGCAGTGACAGACAGTTTTATGTTCTCTGTGAGGTGGGAATAGAAACGGGCAGATGCGAGGCAGGATTTGCCAACACCAGAGAGGCGTTCTCTCCTGATTGCACTCTAGACACTAGCAGTGATTTACAAAGCTTTATAACTAGTCACATTTCTTGAGTTACTTATTTTTTTCCATATTACTCTTTAGTACCTAAATAATGTCCCTAAATAACTGCTTATGTGTTCAATATAACCTACTCCAAAACTACTAAAAATCAGCTTATTTTAACTGCTCTGTTTTTAAGTTTCCAAATGGGCTAAAAATGATTCTATTAGGCAAAAATTTGCACTCAAATCCAAAATTTTTAAAAGGGCTTCCAACTTCATGGAATGGTTGACTTCCGGATAAGCTTAAAATTGCTGGGGTCAACGCTGTGTAAATGCCACAGGTGTGTAAGTTGCCATCAGGTGTAAAGATGCTGCCTGCACTGCCGGCATCCCACGTGCGGCAGCTGGCTCACAGCCCGGTTTGCATCCCAGCTGTTCTACTTCTGATCCAGCATCCTGCTGGTGACGGGAAAGCAGTGGAGGAGGGCCCAAGGATTGGGGCCCCTTCACCCACGTGGGAGACCTGATGAAGCTCCTGGCCCTGGCTTTCACGTGGCAGCCGTGGTCATTGTGGCTACCTGGGGAATGAACCAGCACATATTCTCTCTCTCTCTCTCTGCAACCAATTTTCAAATAAATAAATAAATCTTTTTAAAAAAATCTTGAAGTGTTGGTACTAACTAAAATGCTTACAAACTAAAGAATGTCATCATTTGGAAATTACCAAGCATAAATATCTACACTATTTTAAATACATGTTAAGTGTTTTCTCAGGAAATGCCTTCAATCATAAATCAGAATCTAAAGTCTCAGCTTAAGAGTTAGGAAATTTTAAAGATTTACGACTCCGAGGTGCTATTAACAGGTAAGCCCCACGTAGTCCTACGCCCCTAAACCATGTCCAACAAAGGAGACCCTGAAGAGCTGGAAAATACTACCTACAAAGTAGGAATGTATTGTTCTAGCTTTCAATCAAATGACTAACAACTAGAAATTTAGAAAAAGCATTCAGACAGCTTTTAGAGGCTGCAAGAATAAAACAGAAGAATCAAGGCAATACGTTGTCCACTTTCTGTACATGTAAGAAAACCAACAACACAGCCATCCTTCTCCAGAAACATTAAATTCTTTTCTTATTTATGCCTCAATGAAAGAGATACTAAGTTTACCTTTAAGCCAAAGAAAAATGTACCAAGTAAAAAAGATAAAGAAGCTTTTGGATTCATTATGGAAAAATAAAAAAATGTTTTCCAATACTAAAATAATAGGGCTAAGCTAAGCTGCTTTTTGCCTGTTTAACCAAAAAACCTGTCATGGTCAAAATTATAGGCTTGCAGGAATCAAATTTTGGAGAATAAATTAGCCAACATTAACAACCCATCTGGTTTTATCTTAGTAATATGACAGTGATATTTTATACTTACGTCTTCTTTCAACTAGAATATTAGTTTTTCATACGTATTTTTTAGCAAACGAAAGGCCTTAGACAGAAGTAATATCAGAATCCTGGCTCAAGATATTTACACAGCATGTGAGGTTCCTGGCAGCGCAGGGGGGAGCAGCAACATGACTTACAAATTACCTACCATCTAATGAAAGGAAACACCAGGCTTGTAGGAGAAAAGTTCTCCACACTAAATGCTAGGAGTTTCCTGCCTGGTGCACTGTAATAAAAGTTCAAGCAGAGTGAAACGTGCGGGACAGAGCGAGCCCAGGCAGATCCACATGGACATGTAAGCTGCGGGACCCTAACCAAGCTACTTAGACTCTTCATATTTTTAGTTTCATCATCAATAAAAATGGTGGGACCATCTTCGGCATCAGAGAAATAGAAAGAGCTAAAAGGGATTTTTAACCAATTATGCACAGAACACAGGAAATCATCAGTGAATGGCAGCTATTATAATCAAATACAAAGGTTTTTATTTCTCTTTTATCAATTCTTAATACACATTAAACCTAATACCAACCTCAATTAAGTTATCTTAAGGGGATACTAAACAGTCTGGGTGATTAAACTTGACCCCACAAACTGTATGAAGTCCAAGTCATAATTTTTAATTTATATAAGTGAGCCAATTCCACAGACTTCAGGTACAGATTTAGAACAGTGATACCTCCCACCCCATCCCCTCCGGCATAATTCCGAGTTCCTATCTTGCCCTACCTTCTCACATTAACCAGAACTGATCACCAGGCAAGTTTACAGCTTCAACTTCGTGTTCTATTGAGAGAACGGGGCTCCAATGCCTTAAAGGAATCAGCTGTATTTAATAAATTAACTTCTTTACCCACCTAAAACAATGTGAGCAATTTATAAACTTCAGAATTAAGAAAATAATCCTCGGGGCTGCCGTGGGGGTACAGGGAGTTAACACAGTACTTGTAATGCAGGCATCCCATATGGATGTCGGTTCGTGCCCCAGCTGCTCCACCTGCAGTCCTGCTCCCTGCTAAAAGCCTGGGAAAGCAACAGACGATGGGACACCTGGATAAAGCCCCTGGCTCCTGGCTTCCACACGGCCCAGCCCTGGAATTTGTGGCCATTTTAGGGGTGAGTCAGCAGATAGAAAATTATCTTCCTGTCTCCCTCTCTCTTACTGTAACTCTTTCAAATAAATCTTTAAAAAAAAAAAAAGCAAACAAAAAAAAATTGAAAATAGTTGTGAAATCATTTTCTATGGTATATGATTTACATGAGACATTTCTATCTGAATAACAGTCATTAATTCTATTAGTATCAGAATCAAGACTGGACCGACAGATCTGGTGCAAACTCTTTGGAGGTTTACCCACAATAACTTCCGCAGGGCTGATTCTGCCTTCATCTCTGCACATTCTGTGAAGGGAATCGGTGGACATCTGAAATCCAACAGGGGCCAGCACTGTGGCACAGGTACTAGGCCTCAGCCTGCAACGCCATACGGGTGGCAGGTGGACACACAATCCAGTTCTCTGCTAACATGCCTGGGAAAGCAGCTGGAAGCTGGCTCGAGAGCTTAGGCCCCTTCACCCATGTCAGAGACCCAGAGGAGGCTCCAGGGTCCTGGCCTCAACGTGGTCCAGCCCTGGTCATCGGCAGCCACTTGACGAGTGAACCAGCAGATGGAGGCTTACTTCGTCTCTGTCCTCTCTATTGCTGCCTTATTAATATAAATTTTAAAAATACATATTTTTAATCCTTAAGAAAAAAAAAAGGTAAAACAAGAAACTGCCAGAAGACATGAATCAGATTTTAAATCACCTTGGAAGAAACTTGTCCCACAAGTCCCAAACAAGAATAAGCTGATTAATAACCATACCCTATAATTTGCTCTGACCTAAGACAAGAGCTGATAATATTACTGAAATCCTGGGAATCTATAAAATAAACATTAAAATAATGAAGATATGAATATAGTACTTTTTAATACGTTTAATAATATAGGTGGTATTTTCAAACTGAAGTATTTAAGAGGATCTGACAGATCTGTAATTTTACTAATTTCAGGATTTGGTTCGTTAAACCAATGTTAAAATATTTTTGCAACTTATGCATTTTAATTATTAACTATAGAATAATAGCATTTACAAAGTGTGAATAACTTTTCAGAAGCCTTGAATTAATGAGGAGTGTGCAGTCATGAGCCCACACAGGGACTTTCCTACCATTTCATTGCAGAGGCAGTAGCCACACACACTTACCCTGACAATGAGGATCCATTTAATCAAGGAAAGGCCAAATCCACAGATAGCGCCGTACCTCCCAGCTATGGTGTTGGTGATGCAGAAGGATAAACAAAATCCAAGCCAGTTGAAAATAAACGCCACTAAAAGCAACACAGTTAAAAGACTTTAATTTAGAAACAAATTAACACAAACATAATATTAAAAACAGGTAAGCATGGTTTCTTATCAGTTGGTAAACAGGAATCAATCCCTCAGAGCTCCTGTAGCAGCTGAAACTGCATTTTTAAACTAGTTAAAAAACAGACCACAAAATTGTTCACATATGCATCCACCAAAAAGCTCAAAATATGGTGTTTGCCAACCAAACTGACTTTTTAAAGTAACACTTTAAATAGAGAAATAAAATTTAGTACTTCACAAATTTTTAAGATTTACTTATTTATTGGAAAGTCAGATATACAGAGAGCAGAAGAGACAGAAAGGAAGATCTTCCGTCCGATGATTCACTCCCCAAGTGACCACAACGGCCAGTGCTATGCCAATCCGAAGCCAGGATCCAGGAACTTCTTCCGGGTCTCCCACACGGGTGCAGGGTCCCAAAGCTTTGGGCCGTCCTCAACTGCCTTCCCAGGCCACAAGCAGGGAGGTGGATGGGAAGTGGAGCTGCCGGGATTAGAACCAGCACCCATATGGGATCCTGGAGCATTCAAGGTGAGGACTTGAGCCGCTAGGCCACGCTGCTGGGCCCATCTTACGGGCTTCTTAAGGAATAATTATAATTCTTCAATATTCTTCTTCAGATTCAACTGCAGTACGTAACCTCATCCAAAGGCTATATTAAAACATTACTTTACAGAACAAATTATCAAAGTCTTATTTCTTTTTAAAGTTTTTTTTTTTTTTAATTGGAAAGGCAGAACAGATTTACAGATAGGAGAGACTGAAAGATCTTCCATTCCATGGTTCACTCCCCAGATGGCCGCAACAGCTGGGGCTTAGCCAATCTGAATCCAGGAGCTTCTTCCAGGTCTCGCATGAGGGGGCATGGTCCCAAGGTTTTGGGTCACACTGTTCTGCTTTCCAGGCCACAAGCAGGGAGTTGGGTGCGAAATGGAGCAACCAGGACACAACATAGTGCCCTTATGGGATTCTGGGACATCCAAGGCGAGGATTTAGCCACAAGGCTATCACACTGGGCCCATATAGTACCTTTTCTTAACAGAGTTGTACAACTACTGCTATTACCCAGTCTTAAAATATTTCAATCTTCACAATAAGAAATGCAAAACTCATTAGCACCACCTCCGTTCCCTCCAGCCACTGGCAACCACTAATCTGCTTTCAGGCTTGGCCCAGTGTGGTAGCCTAGTGGCTAAAGTCCTCACTTTGCATGCACCTGGATCCCATATGGGCGCTAGTTTGTGCCCTAGCTGCTCTACTTCCCATCCAGCTCGCTGCCTGTGGCCTGGGAGCACAGTATAGGACGGCCCAAAGCCTTGGGACACTACATCCATGTGGGAGACCGGAGGAAGCTCCCGACTCCTGGCTCCTGGCAGTGAATCAGGATCAGCTCAGTTCCAGCTGTTGCAGCCACTTGGAACGTGACCCAGTGGATGGAAGATCTTTTCCTCTCATCTTTTCCTTTTCTCTTTCAATCTGCCTTTCAAACAAATAAACCTTTTTGTAAAAAATAAAAAATGGGGCCCAGCCTGGCGGCCTAATGGCTAAAGTCCTTGCCTCGAGCACGCTGGGATCCCATATGGGCGCCGGTTCTAATCCCGGCAGCCTCACTTCCTATCCAGCTCCCTGCTGTGGCCTGGGAAAGCAGTTAAGGTCAGTCCAAAGCCTTGGGAACCTGCACCTGCATGGGAGACCTGGAGGAAGTTCCTGGCTCCTGGCTCTGGATGGACACAGCACCGGCTGTTGCGCTCACTTGGGGAGTGAATCATCGGATGGAAGATCTTCCTCTCTGTTTCTCCTCCTCTCTGTATATCTAACTTTGCAGTAAAAATGAATAAATCTGTAAAAAAAAAGTAAAATAAGTAAATAAAAACTGATCAACATAATCATTATACAAGTGCAAATTAAAACCGCAGTGAGATACCATCACACATCTGAATGTCTAAAAATACAGACAAGTGCTACTACAAACTACTCACACGGAGCAACAAGGACTCGCTCATTCTTTGCTTGGGGACATGCAATTACAGCCACTTTGGAAGACACCTTGTCAACTTCTCAGAAACCAGACTTCACACTTCAAAACATTCTTATGATTCATCTTAAAGCTATAAAATTAATTTTTTGTCTCCCTCGGGTCCAAAATGAAAATAATTCATGTGATTAATTACAACAGTGTAATCACAGGAAAATCCTCACTTCATACAAATGGCTAAACCTCTACTCCGAGCAGTCTATGACATTTTTTTTAATGAAAACGTTTATTCATTTATTTAAAAGGCAGAGCTATGGAAAGGAAGAAAGAGAAGCAGAGAGATCTTCCATTCACTGATTTACTCCCCAAATGGCCAAGGTGGCCAGGGTTGTGCCAGGATGAAGCCAAATGCTGGGAACTTCTTCCAGGTCTCCCTTCTGGGTGCAGAAGCCCAAGCGCCTGAGCCATTCTCTGCTGCTTCCCCACGTGCATTAGTACGGGAGCTGGTTCAGAAGTGGAAGAACCAGGACTCGAACTGGCACCCATATGATACACCAGCTATGCCATAGCACCAACCCCCCAAATTTATTACATTTCAAATGACTGGAGTTCAAACTCACTTCATAGATTGTCAATTATCCAGTGAATCAAATTTTAACTTATAGTGAATAAAATGAGTAAATGAACAGACTGTATTTCACTCTCTTAGAAAACACCTTAAGAATGAAATCCAAGATAAGCACGTTAGACATGCAGGGAGACATCTTGCAGCAGTAACTTTAAAAAATTATGAGAAGCAAAAATACTGCCTAGGGACACGCACTTCTATAATTTCTAAACAAGAATACACAATTATTTTATCCAATATAAGTGTAAAATTATTTAAAGTTATTTGAGGTAACACTAAAACATAGCCATTGAAACAATTAAACAATTAAAACAATAAAATAAAAACATTAAAACAAAAATTCAATGACATTTTCTTATAGGTATTCATCTTATTTGTACATATTATATAACCTAAAATGCTTAAGTTACAAAATACATTCCAGAAATGTTGCAATTTGAAATATAGCCACTAGGTGGTAGTAACGGCAAGTAAATCTAGGCTTATCAAAATAAATAAGCTCTAGGCCTACAGTCTTATCAGAGAAAATGTACCAGGAAATAAAGGAAGAAAAATAACTGTATTCTTGTAATACTGGTGAAATACCTGTAGATGCCTGTATAATGCAGAGAATTAATTAGGAGATGTTTAAGAGAATTAAATATGAGATGTAAAAGCAATGCAGTACAAATTTAGTAAAATATATCAAATTTATTAAACAATATACCACGATTGGCCAAAAATAAAATCAACCACTGTGTCTAAGTTACCATGACTATATAACATGTATAGAAGTTAAATCTTTTAAAATCTAAAAATAAAAAGGAAGGCAATGAGGGAATTAAATGAAATAAAAAAAATGCAGAAATAAGAACCAAGCTAAGTCAAATAATTAGATGGCATCAAATAATGTTTTTATTCAAAGGGAAGACATTTTTATTAAAAGTAATACAATAAATCTAGGTTCTTTTAGAGGAAACATCCATTAAAGGAATTACCGATTAGCTGGTTTTTTTGTTTAAAACAAAATATGTGGAAAGTTAGTTCATGTAAAGGATTATCTAGTAAGCTAGAATTAGGATTAAAAACTAAGGTTCACTAGTTCCACAGCAGTCGATTATAACCAGAATTCATTTCTTTTGCATTGCACGGAAATATTTAGGTAGAAGTTTTAACCAATATTTAGGTAGAAGTTTTAACCAATATTTAGGTAGAAGTTTTGAACACTGTACACATCAGCTAGCCGCCAACCATATCCCACCCTTTCCCCCGCTCTACTTCTGCTCTGCAGCAGATGGAAAAAGCAAGCAAGAAATCATCTCACAACGGAGCCTTCCAGACTCAAAAGCAACTCAGTGCCCGGGATTCACTTTTTAAGTTTTAAACTGAATATGGCCCTTCAGTTCTCAGTTCACGCGCTCCTTCCTTCTCTCTCACACTGTCCACTGCTCAGAGGGAGATCGCTCAGGTGTGCGTAAACAGAGGCTTTACCGCCAGATGCCCATCACGGCCTAGCCCGATTGTGTTCCAGCTTCCAACTTTGTCCAGACCGGCATGAGTGGCCAGAGCCCAGTTCCTTGAGCCATCCCTGGTGACTCCCAGGGCCTGCATGAGCAGGAAGCTGGAGACAGAAGCGCCAGTCAGGTACTGAACCCAGCTACTCCACACGGGGATACATAATTTTGCTAGACTGAATACTTAATGTGGCGGTTGAATTAGCAAACTACTTCAGAGTTACCACAAGATAAAACAGAGTTTAAACATAAATTAAATGGGGCCTGGTGGCTTGGCCTAGCGGCTCAAGTCCTCGCCTTCAACGCGCCAGGATCCCATATGGGTGCCAGTTCTAATCCTGGCAGCTCCACTTCCCATCCACCTCCCTGCTTGTGGCCTGGGAAAGCAGTTGAGGACGGCCCAGAGCATTGGGCCCCTGCACCCGCGTGGGATACCAGGAAGAAGTTCCTGGATCCTGGCTTCGGATTGGCATAGCATCGGCCGTTGCGCTCACTTGAGGAGTGAATCATTGGACAGAAGATCTTCCTCTCTGTTTCTCCTCCTCTCTGTATATCTGACTTTCCAATAAACAAATAAATCTTTAAAAAAATGAATTAAATGAATATTCTATTCAACTTAGTAGCAAAGCTTGACCATTTACCCAAGTAAATGGAAGTTAGTTATCTGCAGTCTAATGTTTACTTAAGTTCAGGAACTTACAGTTTAATAAACACCTTAATATTATTTAATGACTTTTCTGAGTGTCAGCAACTGAACTTATGAAGACAATGACTCAGAGCTTCTGTACTTTGTAAGCTAAATACTGAGAATTTTACAAGTTGCTGAATATGATACTGAAGTTTCTGATCATGTAATCAATCAGCTAAGATTTACACTCTCATGCCTTCATGTCTGTGACACTGTCCCAGTTGCCCAGGATACTCTTTTTCCCTACCCTTTATTTTAGCTTAAAGACGCTCAAAATCTGCCATGTCACAAAGCAAAATTGACAGTTTCATTCTCTATGCTCCTAAGCACTGAGTGGACATTGGCGTCCCACGATTTCTCTAACAAGTCCTTACCTGGCTTCATTACACATGCCTGTATCCTGTTTAGAAGTCACCCATAGAGTCAGCACCTGTTGCAACGGCTGTAACGCATAATTATCCAGCAAGTGTTTTACAATGATATGATTTGTACTGCTGTATATAATCACAGTATTCATCATCTATCAGTAAAATTTAGATTTTAAACAAGACAGACATTAACAATATCTGCTCTACTATATGTTACTTTAAACCCACAGAGCCAATTTATCGCAAAAGAAAGAAAAACAGCTTGAAAAGCTCACTTACTGAAAAACGCCAGCATGAAGATGCCGTCATTCCCCACTCGGAGCTGGTCTGCGTCGCTGAAGTCATCTCTCGGTGGGCACTCCTCCTCCTGAATCTGCGAGACACAAACATTGCAACAGCTCAGTAACATAATGTTTTCCTCTGAAATTTAAGAATAAAACAAAAAATATTAAATTTATTTGTAAATAATAACTTATTCATAATAAAAATAAAATTGTATACATTTTAAAAATGTATTTATTTATTACAGGCAGGGAGCTGGATGGTGATGTCTCTGGGACATCAATCGGAGCCCATATGAGATCCCGGCGTGTGCGAGGCAAGGACTTTAGCCACTAGGCTACTGCACTGGGTCCAATTCAAGTGACTTTTGACAGAAGTCCCCTCTTGTAGATCTGTCCTTCCCCTTTGTGAGTCTTAAGAAAGTTACTTGGGGGACCACCAACACAGCGTAGCAGGTAAAGTTGCTGCTGCCAATGCTGGCATCCCATATGAGTGCCAGCTCATGTCCCAGTTGCTCTACCTCTAACCCAGCTCCCTACTAATGGCCTAAGAAAAGTGAAGCCCTTAAGCCCCTATGCCCACATGGGAGACATGGATGAAGCTTGTGGGCCCTGCTTGCAGCCTGGTCCAGACCTGGCCAGTGCAGCCACTTGGGGTGTGAGCCAGCAAGTGAAAGACCTCTCTTCTTCACTCCTGCCTGTCTCTGTAACTCTGTCTTTAAGTAAATGTATCCAGAAAGGAAGGAAAGAAAGAAAAACATTTTTTCCTTCTAAGAGGAAAAATGTATGAAGAGTAAGAATGGAATTTACCACCTTAACTTTGTAATCAAGGTTCTTACAGCACTCCGTAATAAGGTATCTAAGTCATCACTGCTCTGTGTTAAAGGCCAAGTGAAAAAGCACGAGTGGCAAGCCCTGCAGTTGATGAAACATGGCCAGCTCTCGTAGGGATTCCTGGGTGGTTCTGGGAGAAGACAAAGCCACACATGGAAGCACCTCCCTCCCCCTAAGTTCCTCATCTAATTCTGACTTTCCTGCATGAGGTCTTTTTTTTAATGTCTTCTATGTCTTTTTCCTGAACAAAATGGGATGACTCCAAGGATCTGAGAAGGCACCACTGAAATGTGAAGGAAGGAAAAGAACAACAAACCCCAGGTTTGCTTGCAGCCACACTAAGGCGTCAATAACTGTCACCTTTTACAGGGCTGATGCCACACTGTGACGACAGCCACTCTTCGTGCCAGTGGCATGCTCTGTTAATCAGCGAGATGAGGCAAAAGGACAGGAGACTCATGACCACTAATCTAAAGTTCTAGGATGGGATATGGCAAAAGGAGAGAAAAAAGCTATGAAAAATAAATTTAAAGCCCCATTACTTGTATTTCTCTGTGCTTTTTAGCCTGCTTCGGAGCTTTTTCACGGAGTCACTAAACTAGCCATGCTAATATACAAAACAGGAACAGAAAAAAAGATGACTCATTGACAGACCAAGGAGACCAACCTATGCAAAAGGCAAAATAAAATGCGTGACAGTGAGCAGGTGAGTCGGCTTGAGATTCAGGTAAGAGAAGACAACTGTTGGGGTGCTGCCAAGCAGAGTGAGTTTAAAAGGTTGAAGCTGGTACATGAAGTATCTGAAATAAAAATGTAGGAAGTGACAAATGTATTGGCAAAGTAAGGTCTCAGGTGGCCAGAAGCTGGGACAGGCTGAGAGAGCAACAGAGACGATGAGCTCAAGAAGCGAAGAGGGTGAATTTAACTGGGAGAGCGCCAACCTCACTACAAATGACACACCTGATATCAGAAAAAGATTCTGGAGAAAATGCACATACACTCTACACAGAGAGCCACCTTCAGTGTTATCAAACGCATGCGGCTACTACACAACTGAAACACTGCCGGGAGAATCAAGTCGTTCCTTACTCTCTGAGATGCTTCTGCTGCAGCCGCTGCCATTGCGGCAGCCTTGGCCTTCTCAGCTTCGTCATACGTAGGAAGGGAGGTAGCAACACTGTAGGGAGGTGGCACAGGGTAATACTCACTGTAAACATCTGTGTCTGAAAGAAAAACATGGAAGAAACATAACCATTAAAAACAATCATTTCACAGTCATAACACAATTGTTGATTTATTGCCATTATAATTTAATAATTTACAGCATGCCACTGAAGACTGCTATTGCTATGCCTCTTTGTGTTATAAGCTACACATTTGTTAGAATTACATATCTTATTTTAGCCCTATATTTATTATAAAGGTAAAATGATAAATATCATAGCTGAATCTTAGACAAGAATTTCAAGGCAGAACTGAAAAGGAATGTCATACAATGCAGGTAACAATCTCAAAATACATGAGCATCCTCACCCTGTTTATTAGTAAATACAGAGATTTTAATTTACTCACCCATTTTCCCAAAGAAACAAGCATTTGTATAGCACTAGCCACTCCAAACACTATTTCTACATACTTTAATCTTGTAACTTTCAGGTTCAAAAAAACTAGGTGACTTACCCAGTACCTACCAATCAATAAGTGGCAAACCTAGGAAGTTTCTAAGTCCAAATACTTTGCTCTGATAACACAAACTGGTGATTATTTACTCACATACTGACTTTATTTAGCAAGTGCCCTAACTTAAAAAAAAAAAAAAAAAAAAAAGACTTTGTTTTCATCTACCTCAAAGGCACAGTGACAAAGTGATCTCCCACCACCTTGTTCATTTCCCCAAATGGCCACAACAAGCATGCCTGGGCGGAGCAAAAGCTGGGATCCAGGAATTACACCCAGGTCTCCCACACCTCCCACGTGGGTGGCTGGGCCCAAGCGCTTGGGCCATCATCTGTCTCCTCCCAGGATTTGTGATCAGGAAAGGGGATCAGAAGCAGAGGAGTTGGGACTTGGACGCACCCTGCCTGGCAAGGGACACAAATGTCCCAACAGCTCCTTAAAGCGCTGTACCATAATGCTTGCCCCAGACTGATATATTTTTAAAATAAAACTGCATCATTTATTTCCAGTGTAGGTAGTACAAATAAAAGTGCCAATCAACTGATTAGACTTATATCAGTCACTGACATAAAAAAAATAGGGTGGGTTCTAAAAGTAACATACATATAGCACAACTTCAGCATTAACTATCTGATTTTCTGCAATGACAACATTTTTATAATTTCTATACCACTTTTAATGTTTTCCATCAGAATTTCTTGCATTTACAACATGACATATTTTACTCTAGCAATTATTTTACCTGTTGTATTTTCTCAAGTGTAGGCTTTTAAATAATTTTAATACCATCAATAAGAATAAAGAATCTAAAATGAGATCATTTTCAATCTAACAAGAGAAGTGTTTCAGCAGTGTAACATTGAACATGACATGTATCTACCAGAAAACATAAGAATACTAAACACTCAGAAATATTTATTATCAGGAAACAAAAACACGCTCAACAGTCAAGTAAATAAATAAATATCTTCAGTTCTAAGAACATAAAAGGAAAATATAAGTGAAGACAATGTTTATGAACTGTACAGCAACGACATTAAAATTGTAAATGTTTAAAACTGGAATTATGATACTACCTGAGATGTGTTTTCTATATTAAAATACATAAACTTTACAAAAAATTTAACATTTCAGTTAAAAAAAAAATCTCCGTTACTAAGAGATGAGACTTGGAAAAGAGAATTACAACTTTAAATTTCACCTTTTATTATACATACTCTTCTACCAGAGGATTTCTTAACCAGAGGACATAGTCTGGGGAGTGCCAACACTAAGTTTTCTCAGAGGTGTGCAACCTCAAGCAAATCACTAAGCCACACAAAGCTCTACTATCCCACACATAAAACTGATCTAACGGCCTGGCACAGTAGCTCAGTGGCAAAAGTCCTCGCCTTGAACGCGCCGGGATCCAAATGGGACGCCAGTCCTAATTCCAGCAGCTCCACTTCCCATCCACCTCCCTGCTTGTGGTCTGGGAAAGCAGTCAAGGACGGCCCAAAGCCTTGGGACCCTACACCCACGTGGGAGACGTGGAGGAAGTTCCTGGCTTCGGATTGGAACAGCACCGGTTGTTGTGGCCACGTGTGGGGTGAACCAACAGAGGACCTTCCTCTCTGTTTCTTCTCCTCTCTGTATGTCTTATTTTCCAATAAAAATAAAATAAAATTTAAAAACTGATCCAACAAGACTATTCACTGCTGTGGGACAAAATGGAAGTTCATTCTAGAGAACTGTGTAACTGGCCACGCCCTGACCTAGGTACAAATATAAGCTCTAAAGAAAACTAGCACAGCCCATGCTTAAAACACAAAAAAAAACTTTTCAAAAATCTAAAGAGGAATATCCACAGTTTAAGAGGCATACAAAACTCTAGAATTAACTTAGCATTTGTACTCAATTAAAGTTATGAATGACGTTTGGCACAACATGCAAAAAGTTAGAAATAACCAGTATTTTACAGACTAGGGTAACTGAATATCTAAGTACCAGGCTCAAATGATTTTACAGTTGAAATTTATATAACCCGTAAAAAACATATGCTTATCAATATTGACCCAGATCCAAAAAACTGAAAAACTTTTCAATTAAATTCACCTTGCTGAGTAACCACCAAAAAGTACGTATGTTACACATCCCATCCAAGCTGCAAAAAAATTAAGTTAAATATTAACAAATTCAAATCCAGAAACAATGAGGAGAAAAACATGGCAATTTCTTCCAGAACATAGCAATAGATGTATTTTTTGTTTAATCTAGTGGTGGAGCCAGCATGTGCAGAGGGGGTTAATCCACACTGCCTGCGATGCTGGCATCCCATATCCTGTTATGGGCATCAATTCGTGTTCCAGCTACTCCACTCCTGACCCAGCTCCCTGCCAAAGCACCTGGGAAAGCAGCGAAGGATGGCCCAAGAATCTAGATCCCTGCACTCACCAGGGAGACTCAGATAGAAGCCCACAGCCCCTGGCCACTGTGGCCATTTGGGGAGTGATCTATAAAATTGAAGATGTCCTTGTCACTTCCTCTCTCTAACTCTTCCCTTCAAATGAATAGGTTAACCTTTAAAAAATAAAAAATAGTAGAGCCTGCACTGTGATATGGTAAGTTAAATCTGCCTATGGAGCTGACAATTCTTACGGGTTCTGGTTCAAGTCCCAGCTGCTCGATTTCTGATTCAGTTCTCTGCTTACAGCCTGAAAAAGCAGTGCAGGATGGCCCAGGACCTTGGATCCCTGTACACAGATGGGAAACCTAGACGAAGCTCTTGGCTCCAGGTTTCAGGCAACCCAACTGGCCACTATGTCAAGTTAGGGGCGATCCAGAAAATGGAGATCTCTCTCTGTGTCTTTCCTTCTCTCTCTCTCTATCTTTCCAATAAAAATAAATGCATTTTTAAAAAATAAAAACAGAAAAAAGAACTCTAACAATTACATTGCTTTGCACCAATAATTAAAGGAGAAAAATCATGTAATTTTGTATCAATTACCAAAAAAGATGACTCTTACTAGAGTCATTTCTTCAAAGGGGGAAAGCAGTAGAAGAGAAAGGAAGTAGGCAATTGTGGTTCTTCTAAAGTTGTACGAGTGCTTGGAAACTTCTTACCAAGAAAATAGAAACGAACTCCTTTCTTCTTGAATAAGGACTAAAGTCCATGACTCAATTCTAACAAATCAAATACAGCAAAAGTGACACTCTATGACTTTTAAAGCAACATGGTAACAGGTGAAATACATTTCATTTAAGTTTGTAAAATGTTTCTTAGAACCCACGCACTATTCAGTGAAGAATCACTGGCCACAAAAAATTTTAGTAGACACCAATATCAATCACAAACACAAAAAAAGAAAGCCTTTGTGGTACCGTCAACCTGAGCCATCGTCAGACACAATCACATGAAACTCTTGGGGAGCACAGGCCAGAGTACTGCCAGAACCATGAGAATCAGCAACAAATAATTGCTATTTCACTCCATTAAATGTGGGGCTGACTGTTACAGAGATATAGCTATAGCAGCCTCAATAAATCTTTTAGACTTGGTGCAATAGCCTAGTGGCTAAATCCTTGCCTTCCCTGAGCCGGGATCCCATGTGAGTGCTAGTTCATGTCCCGGCTGCTCCACTTCCCATCCAGCTCCCTGCTTGTGGCCTAGGAAAGCAGTCAAGGATGGCCAATGCCTTGGGACCCTGCACAACATGGGAGACCTGGAGGAATTTCCTGGCTTTTGGCTTCACATTGGCTCAACTCTAGCTATTGTGGCCAGTTAGGGAGGGAACCAGCAGACGGAAGATATTTCTGTCTATCCTTATCTCCATAAATCTATCTTTTCAATAAAAATATTTTTTAAGAAACCTAGTATCTTTCATTTTTCAGGTACAAAAATAATCAAAAAAACAACTCATCAGGTTCATTTTTTAAATTTGGGGTACAAAATCATTTTACAACATTGTGCAAACTTGTAAATATTTAAGAAAATTTAGCGCATAATGAATTTTAACAAGCACAAAAACAGCTGTAAAATCTTCCAACTAAAAGGATATAAAATTGATGAAAATAAATATTAAATTTGTGCATGAAATGGTAGTGAACTATCACTCTGATTAAACCAGCATGTACAAACAAAATTTCAATATTTTTTACGAATCCTTTGCTCTTCTGCATTTTATGTACAGTGAAATGTCTCCACTTCCCTGTTTTCTCTGCAGTCAGCCCACTCTGCCCTGGATCCCTAACAGCTGTAACTCTTCCCTCTGTTTAGCACTAGACCTCTAAACTTTGTCTATCCATCACATGGAACCACACTTTCAAGAAGATGATTTTCAGAAAGTGGATTAAAAAGTGTTTGGTGGAAGAAGTGTTGCTTCTTTTAACATATCAGACACAAAAATGGTAACCAGAAAAAGTTGGCTAAGTCAGAAAAGTACATGACATTAACAGAGAAGTAAACAAGACAAAATATTTGAGCAAAAGACTTTTACCATTAAGATATATTGAAGTAACTTTTTAAAAAATAAACACTTCGTGATAAGTATACAAAATACTTGGAGAAATTATTATGAATTCATTTAGAAACTATTATGCTACTTAGAGAAGTTAACGTTAGTTTAGAGAAGTTATGATAGTTTATAAAATCATGCCATGATATAAACCAAACAATATATAAAACCATAGTGGTGTATAAAAGTCATCCTAACGACTAACCCAACACTACTAGGAAAACGCAAATTGTAGCCAGAGAAACAGATAAGATGCTCCTTTGGAATTACTTGAACAGATCAGATGAACAGTAGGAAGTAAAAATTTCAGTATTAACATATGAATAACACTATGCACGCCCTTCACCTCCAGCCACAGGTTCTCAGCACCTTCCCATTAACACCTTGTTTGGACAATAAGTTCTACACATACTTGTGTACATCTATACTTGTATATATACATACGTAGGTATATGCACCTGTGTATACATGTTTAGAAGCTCATTAATAAACTTGGTAACTTCAGTGTGCCATACTCCTTTCCTCACAAAAATGAGTAATTAAAAACATTGGTAGCCGTTTCATACCAGAAGTTGTAGGGACTTCCACAGTAATACTACTGTAAGGTGGAGGAGAAGAGTCCGTTTCAGGTGCTGGTGCCGAGGCAGCTGTCTGCATGTCCTGTGCTGTTGAACTGGAAGCAGATGGCTGTTCTACCACCGATGCTTCTGAATTATCTTCTTCATTGTGCAGCTGAAATAAAACAACATAATGCGACTTACCATTTTTGAATTATATTTTAAAAGGTGATTTTAAACAGATTACTTTTGAGCCAAACACAAAGTAAAAAGATCTAAAAATAAGTCATCAAAAAGTTAAGAATTTTTAGTTTCTTTATTGTAAAGATGAAGTTTAATCTATGAAGCAAATTACGATTCAAAAGACTCAAATCCATGTAAGCCTATAGTACATATTAAGTAACTCCCATTTCAATATTATACACATACTACACAGAAAAACAAAAAAAAATTTCTTAAAAGATTTATTACTTACTTTAAAGATGTACAGAGAGGAGAGACAGAAAGAGAAGAGAGAGTAAAATCTTCATTTACTGGCTCACTCCCCAGATGGTCCAAACAGCCAGGGGTGAGTCAGGCAGAAACCAGGAGACAGAAGCTTCATCCAAGCCTCCCACATGAGCTAACCCAATGGGCCATCACTGCTTTGCACTGGGCATTAGCAGGGAGCTGGGCAGGAGGCAGAGCAGCTAAGACCTGAACCTGCTCTCTCCTGGGGGCGAGCATTCACAGCAGAGGCTCAGCCCACTCTAAGATGTTATGGTATTTTACAAGTTACTTTAAGTCTCTTTTAATTGAAGATTCAAACAAACAAACAAACAAACAGTATTTCACACACTTGTAAGGATGAGTTAAATGATAATATATTTCACATAATGTTAGCACTTAGATCACCATAAATCTGGTGTTATAACCAATATTTTTTACAATTCTACATACAATATTGATTCATTTTGCTTTGTAATTTATTCTTTGATTCACTGGAAAATCTAGAGCATGTCACATTTTAGAATGTAAAAACAGTTAATACTTTATTTTTTTCCATTCCTAGTTATACTACAATCAATCATAGAGATAGTATTGCTACATTATTAAAAGTTCTGCTTTTTAAAAAATTGATTGATTGATTGATTGATTTGGGATGCAGCACTTGGCAGTGGAGGATGAGCCAGCTGAGTCAACATGCCAGTCCAAGAAGTCCTGCTTTGCTAAGGATGAGTATTCGGGCTTCTACCACCCACGCGGGTCGCCTGGATGGAATTCCAGCTCCTGGCTTCAGCCTGGCCTCGGCCTGGCCATTGCAGTCATTTGGGTAATTAACCCAGCAGATAGACAATCTCTCTATTTCTTCTGTAACTTGTACTTTCAAATAAATAAATAAATCTTAGAATTAAATAAGCAAATGCAAGGAATGGAATCTAACATAACAACACACAGAAGACAACAGACCAATTTCCCCCTTTTTCCTTCTTATTTAGTAGATATTATGTCATGAACTCAAAACAGACATACGTGGCACCCTCTCTCAATCCAATAAGCAGCCAATTACTTACTCATCTGTAAAAAATAAAAATTATATAGGCAAAGTCAAATGTTAGGTCAATCTACAATATTACTATTTGTGTATTTTGGCAAGTGATCATGCCTGCAAACATTTTTTTGAGTTAATAAATGCATTACAGCTTTTAACAAAACTATCACAAACAAAAATAACTTATAAAGTGACTAAAATAACTCTTCTCAGACATAATGGCACCAAGACTTAGATAATAAGGAAATTCACAGAAATTGGATTATAAAGACAATCATATCGTGAACTTTGCATGGGCTTTATATTTACCTGCACTAAGTGATTGCCCTCTTGGCCAGCACTAGTGTGGACTCATATTACACAGCGCCTCCTCTGCTTCCTCACTGCATGGTACCCAGAGACAGCTCTCATTCAGTCATCTTTTACTGACTACACTTACAGGTAAAAATGTTAGATGAGTCAAATAAAACAAAAGTACAGACATGTCCTTGGCAGATCAACTAAACAACTAATAATGAAGGTGTCACGTGAAGGGACAACTACTTTTGTGTGTCTCTTACTAAAAATGCAACATAGATACAAGGAACTTTACTAAAGAAAAAATATATATATCTGACTAAACCGTTCTACTGCAATTTTTCACAAGAAACATTTCTTAATACATCAACCACATGTCTGGGTTCACCACAAGAATCAACTCACTTTTAAAACCTGTTAAACTTAATCATCAGAATGGAAAGTACAGAGATTTTAACTTAAGATTTCCATTGTAAAGCTTAGTCTATAAAACACAGGTAAAATATATCTTTATTTTAACTACCTAACACCTGTACTTTTACTTTTACAGGATTATAATACAGAGTGAAATTTAGCAATACAGTCAACAACTTCAACCCACTGAAGAATGTTAACTTCCAATTTACTTGAAATGCAACAGTGTAATTTTGACAACTTTGATCGCAATGAAAACCTCTATAAAGTAACCTACTTCGATTATTTTTTAATAAACTCATATAAGAATTAAAATCAAATTACTTGTTTGCCAAATCAGACAATGCCACTGGGAATAATTTCCCTTAATCATCCTGTCCAATGATTTCATTTTGTACTCTTCAACAGTAACAACTACATAAACAGGAAAAAAGAAAAAAAAGGAAAAAAAAGGAAAGGAGGTGTTTAGAGGAAGGAAGGGACCTAGTCATACAGAGTGAAGAAGTGATGACCTGGACTGTCCCGGGGAAAAACTGTCGTTCCAACGGGCAGCATTGTGGAGCAGCAGCTAAAGCTGCCACCTGTGAAGCTCCAGTCCCAGTGACTCCGTGCTAACAGGCCTGGAAAGCAGCAGAGGACAGTCCTAACGCTTGGGCTCCTGCACGCCTGTGGGAGATCAGGAAGAAGCTCCAGGTTCCTGACTTCAGACCGATCCAGCTCTGGTTGCTGCAGTCATTTGAACAGTGAATCAATGGATGGCAAGCCTCTTTCTCTCCTTTACTTTCTGTAACTCTGACTTTCATATAAATGGGTAAATCTGCCATTCCAGTTTTTCCTACTTAGGGAGCCCCTAAATAAACGTCAGTATACAGCACAAGAAAATGAAAATATGCCTGAAACATGGTATCTAGGGTGCTGCATACTTAATTAATCATGATTTTTCTTTACTGCTAGAGAGGGGGAAAAAGGCAAGACAAAAGGACTATCTTAGAAACACCTATAGCTATCCAGCTTAAAAAATATATTTTTTTGTAACTTATGTATTCGAAAGGCATAATCACAGAGGCAGGGAAACAGAAAGAGATCTGCTATTCACTGGTTCACTCTCCAAATGTCCACAAAAACTAGGGCGCGGCCAAGCTGCAAGCAAGCGCCAGGAACTCCACCTGGGTCTCCCGCGTGGGAAGCAGGGCCCAAGTACCTGGGCCATCTCCCACCGCCACGCCAGGCACGTTTGTAGCTGGTATTAATGATGTGTACTGAATGTTTTTACTAATGAGAAAGTCAACTTCTTGTTAATGGGACAGAACATAACAGCATTTCTTGCTGTTCCACAGTTCCAGAGTCTCCATCACTGAACAAGTAGGAACAACTGCTTAAAACAAAGTTTAATCCCCAAATCCAGCTGAGGGGTAAGTAGTGGTGCAGCATGTTGGTCCCCTGCTGTGACACTGGATCCCACATAATGCCTGCTCAGGTCTCAGCTGTTCCACTTCCTTTCCAACTTGTGATAATGTGCCTGGGAAGCAGCACAAGATGGTCCAAGGTGGCTCCTGCCACCTGTGAGGGCAGCCAAGATGGAGTTTCTGGCTCCTGGCTTCAGCTTAGCTCAGTTGTAACTTCTTCAGTCATTTGCTGAGTGAACCAGTCAATAGAAATGTCTTAATGCACATTCTCTTCCTCCTCATTTTTCAAGTAACATGGAACAAAGACACCAAACAAATGGGGGGGGGAGGGGGAATGGGTAAAGATCTTCACAGATTTGTTTTCAAAAAACACCACAGCTGTTTAAACTTCTTTTCACGTGCTGAAGCTGCAACATAAATACAATAGACCCTGAAGACTGTCATTGAACACAACATACTCTCCGTGGCACACTCCATTCCCTGTGTTCACAGCCCTGTCACAAAATGGCACCATTTCTTAGAACAAGGTAACACTTTTTTTTTTAAAGATTTATTTATTTGGGCCCAGTGCGATGGCCTAGTGGCTTAAGTCCTTGCCTTGTTGAACGTGTCGGGATCCCATATGGGCGCTGGTTCTAATCCCGGCAGCCCCACTTCCCATCCAGCTCCCTGCCTGTGGCCTGGGAAAGCAGTCAAGGACGGCGGGGATTCCAACAGGGGTGCAGGGTCCCAAGGCTTTGGGCCATCCTCGACTGCTAAATTCTTGCCTCACTCACACCAGGATCCCATTTGATATGGGTTCGTGTTTCAGCTGCTCCACTTCCAGTCCAGCTCCCTGCTTGTGACCTGGAAAAGCAGAGGAGGATAGGCCAAAGCCATGGGACCTTGTACCCACATGGGAAACCTAGAAGAAGCTCCTGGCTCCTGGCTTCAGATCAGCTCAGCTCAGCTGTTGCAGCCACTTGGGGAGTGAACCGGCAGATAGAAGATCTCGCTCTATTTCCTTTTCTCTGTAAATCTGCCCTTTCAGTAAAAATAAACGAAACCAAAAAAAAAAAAAGTTTAAAAATCTGTAACAGATATAGCAAATCCTCACATACATTATCTCCATGTTGAATATGCAATTATCTTTAACACTATTTTCTGTACTTTTCCTTTTAAATGTTTCATTGGTTTAATGTCAAAACTGTAAAAACAAGGGCTGGCATTGTGACACCCGATTGAGCTTGGAACTCCTACATCCCATAATACACAGACGGCTCCGCTCGAGTGCTTGGGCTCCTCCCCTCCCCCTCTTCCCCCACCCCCCCGTGGAGATGGGGGTACAGTTCTGAACCGCAGCCTTTAGCCTGGACCAGCACTAGTCATTATGCTATTTGGCCGAGTGAACCAAGGGAAGACTTTTTTCTTTCCTCCTCTCCCTGTCACACTACCTTTAAACTAAACAAACAAATTTTAAAACTTAAAAAAAAGTGGAACTAACCAAGTTGTCTTCCAGAGGTAAATTCAAGGGACATATTGTCAAAT